AAGGCTTGGAAACACGGGGATGCGGTGGGGTGGGAGCCGCCCCGATACAGCCGGTGCTGCCGGTTCCTCCGGCGTCCGGAAGGTCACGGGTATTTTACTGCATTACCCAAATTCTAACCAAAGCGTTGAAAATGCTGCCCAGAATACAAATGCTGAATTCCCGTCCATAGCGTGCGTGGCTCCCCTACCTCAGCAGCCCGACGGTGCGTGATGTCTCCCACTGAGCGCTCTCCTCGACCCCCGGACGGGCCCTTCACCCTAATCCATGGCTGGCCTTCTGCTGACAAGCAAGATGCAATCAAAACCACTGAGATCTCAATTGTCCTGTTCCTGGCACAGCGAGCGCAATCTGATGTGCTTGTTTTTTTCTAACTGCCTCCTGCAAGTTTCTGGGTAAGGCCGAGCTGAAAATGAAGCCCAGAGGCGTCGCGGAGCATCTAGAGCCCTGCAGCAGAGATGCTGCCTGCGTGCTCAGGAAGAAACGGTGCAGCTCCTTGTGCTCCGCCAAGGACCGACGGCTCGGCTTCCTGCAGAGGAGCACAGCAGTTGGATGGCGTAGTATTTGAAATTCCCTGCCCAAGTAGCTTTTGTGCACCCGAGGAGCTGCACGAGCATCATGCACGCCTGTGCTGAAGCGCAGCTCTAACGACAGCATGGACTCAACATTTTTACTTGGGAAATCGAGATAAGGAGACCGTGTCCTCATCCGGAAAGAAGAAAAGGGTCTCAAAGCACAGTATTAAGTGGAAAGCATGGTTTACACGAGTAGGTATCACGGCCCTGCAGAAGCCTTTGCATTCCCACCTTCACCTGCAGCGACACTTGGAAATATCCAGGATTCAAGCCCCTGCCCTGGTCCCAGGACCCTCGTTAGGCGCAGGCACCCTTCGCTGCAGCCCCAGAGCGGCAGAAATCCCCTGGGCTGGCATGGCGAGGTTTTGGGGAGGAGGCTGCTTCCACCAGGTGTCCCCCGAGAGCGGTGTGGCCCAGCATTGGGCCCAGGCTTCTTCAATTACCTCACATACAAAAAATTATCAAATCCCACCTGATCTTTATGCTAGCGCTTCCTTTAAGGGGAAAAAAACCCCAAAACACATGAGAAAGACTTGTTTTAAGTGGAAACTCTGTTTTTTTCATTAGCTTCCAACCTACAAAGAGCATTAGATGCAAGTACTCTAATTAAATAATGCCCTTTTGTTTTGCCTAGTAAATACTGAGTAAAGACAATGGCATAACTTGAGCTTCAATAAAAAAAAAAAAGCCCAAACACCTTATCCTTGTCCATCTAGCATTAAACAGAATAGAAGCCCGTCTGGGGCTGAATTCTTCTGGTCACTTTGATGTTTGTTGTGGTCTCTGTTTATATTTAAAGAGGTTTAACTACTCATATTCACATTCTACCTGCAAAGTTTTGAATTCCTTTGCTGTTCCAGGTGGTTTAGCACAAGAACCTCTCCTTACTAGGTTCACGCTTCTCACCTCGAGCCCCGTCATAGAATCGTTTAGGTTGGAAAAGACCTTTAAGATCAAGTCCAACTGTTAACCTAGCACTGCCATCCCACCACTAAACCATATCCCTAAGCATCTCATCTACCTGTCTTTTAAATCCCTCCAGGGATGGGGACTCGACCCCTTCCCTGGGCAGCCCCTTCCAGAGCCTGACAACCCTTTTGGTGAAGAAGTTTTTCCTAATGTCCAACCTAAACCTGCCCTGGTGCAACTTCAGACCGCTTCCCCTCATCCCATCGCCCGTTACCAGGGAGAAGAGGCCGACCCCCCCCCTCGCTACAGCCTCCTGTCGGGGAATTGTAGAGGGCGATAAGGGCTCCCCTCAGCCTCCTCTTCTCCAGGCTGAACACCCCCAGCTCCCCCCGCTGCTCCTCATAAGACTTGACCTTCCAGGGAAGAGCTGAGGGCTTGGGGTCTACAGCAAAAACCCGGCCTAGCACAGGTCATAGCAAGGAAGGGCGAATGGTCTGGGCGAAGCATGGGAGTGGTTTCACATGCGGGTGCTCCACAACATTGGGCTACGCCATCTGGGAAGAGGACATCCCCTAAAATACATTTTACCATCAGATGGGTGAGACACCGGTGGTACTGGGTGCTGCTGCAGCCGGAGAGCCACCGAGCACGCGCGTGGCAGCATCGGCACGAGAGAGCCCAAAACCAACCCGCCCAACGGGGAGCGAGCCTCCAGGGAGAGCCGCCTA